GGGGTGTGGGCTGTACCCCCCAACACTGCCAGAGGGCGTGACACCAAAATGATTTGAGTCCACAGAGGCAGCGAGCCACGACAGGGGAACGGCGGCCAAGGCAGCGGCATCTCTAGGGTCGATGTCACACATCCCCCAGTGTGGTCACTCATCACTACAACCACCCCCAGTCACTCTCCACTCAAGGTTGTACCCGCCACTAAGAGAGACAGACTCTCCACGCCGGCCAGTGGGAGAGAAGAAGAGCTGCAGGAAGCCACTGGGGCTGGGGGAGGGGGCAGCTGGCAGAACCTGGCTGCTCCCGCCAGAGGGGACCTGCCAGCAGGCCCCTTCCACTGGGGTGTGACACCGTAAGTAACCACATTGGGTGACCCCAATGATCTCAGAACATTCACAGTTCTTCCAGATCTTATTTAACAAACATAAGCCTATAGCAACAAATATTTATCAAGTACTTTTCCAACATCGGGAGCTCTGGTGATGTAGCGCCTAAGGCATCTGATTGCTAACCAGAAGGCTGGCGGTTCAAACCCACCAGCCGCTCCTCAAAAGGAAGACTGGCCAATCTACTTTTGTAGAGATACTGCCTCAGAAACCCAAGGAGGTTGCTATGAGTTGAATCGACTCAAAGGCAGTGTTTTTTTTGTTTTTTTTTCCTGCAACATCAAATAGGAACAGGGAAATCTCAGCTTACCTTCCCTGGTCAGTTCAAATGCCAGCTGCTCCACTCAGCCCTTTCTCTCTCATCCTCATAGACACAGGACTAGGTCATTTGAAGGCCTCCCTTCTCTTTCTTAGGTCCAAAAACCAAGGAACAACTCACAATCGCACAGAAAAGACTATCTTTAATCTAGAAGGAAAAAGAATACAAACACAAAGGGAAGACCCAGAGGCATCTTGGCCCAAAGCTTCTACGTCCCCAGGGGAGAGACTTACCCCTGGGAAAGCACAATGTTCTGTTCACTCTCTCCAACCTCAAAGCTCCAGTGAGCCTCCATCTTCCAAGGCCTTTATTGGCCTCACCACATGACCTCCTGAGAGTTGCTCAGCACCCATCCCTAGGTGATCCCTTTTAGTCAGTTCTGCCCCTACTCATTGGCATCAGGTGTGGTCCTGCTCTCAGGAACCAGACCCAAAGGCCAAACTGTTTACAACCAGGGGTTCCACACCTAATTACTTCTCATGTGCTGTGCTGTTGCCAACATATCAACTGATTACCTCATTTAACCCTCGGGAACCTAGAAATAGGTGCTATTGCTATTTTCATTTTATAAATGAGAAAACTGAGGCTTCATAAAACCAAAAACAAACCCACTGCCATGGAGACAATTCTGACTCATAACCACCTTATAGGACTGAGTATAACTGCCCCTTAGGGGTTTCCAAGACTATATATCTTTACAGGAGCATACTACTACATCTTTCTCCCTGAGAGCAGCTAGTGGGTTCATAGAAACATTAAATAAATTGTCCTAAATCCCATGATTAGTAAGAATCAGAGTGAGGACTCAAACCAAGTGTGTTTAACTACCAATTAAATACTGTAACCACTACAATATAAAAGCAATTAATACAGCAATACATTAATATAGCAATACATACATGAGTTTTAAATTCTTACTCCAGATCTGATTATTATTTATGTGAACTATAAGCAAAGTCCTTCTTTAACATTCTAATACAAAATAAACAGATTTCAGGCTGATTTAACTCTTTGGCCATAAAATAAAGTGGCTGTTATTTTCAACAAGAATACTTGATCTTTTAATATGATTGCCAAGGCCTTATTTTCTCTGTAGCCACCTGAACCAAAAGGTCATATTTTTAGAATCAAAAATTAATTTGCCCAAGATATCTATTTATAAAAAGAAAAAAAAAAAAACTCACTGCCATCAAGTTGTTTCCAACTCATAGCGACCCCTTCTTGGGTTTCTGAGGCAGTATCTTTATAATAAAGTAGATTGACCAATCTGCCTTCCAAGGAGTGGCTAGGGGGTTTGAACCCCCAGCATTGTGGTCAAATGCCTTAGGCACTATGTCATCAGAGCTCCTGTAAAAAGAAAAGCAAGTATTTTTAAATTACAGGTAGCTTAAATGAGTAAATCACTTACTGGCCTTATTCCAGGTAGCTCAACCTACTTAGGCACAAAAGTAGTAACTTTGTCACTACTTAAAAGCAAGTATATTTCTGGGATTGAAATGCTAATAAATTGTTAATCTTCCTAAACTTTATGATAATATTGTATAGCCTTATGTTACATTCAACAAACCTAAGAAGGTAATTTCAGCAATATTATTCACTACATGGCCCCAACTGGGAGGGAATTTTTTATCTGGGACAAACAGGAATTAAGTGGCAACTGTCCCAGAAAAACTGGGGCACACAGTCACGTACATTAGAACAACCCATTATAATGTGCATGTTATAGGCTATTCTTTGTATATGGCTTAATTCATGAGTTTTAAATTCTTACTTCAGATCTGATGATGATCACCTTCACCCCTGAGACCATAGCACTATTTTACGGACATCAGGCAAGAATTAAGGATACTATCTAAAAATAAAGCTAAAAAATTCTATTTTTAAGGTTAACTTTATAAACAATTGCTTGTTTAAAAAAAAGATTAGGTATTTCGAAAAAGGTAATCTTGTGAACCATTGTTCAACAAATTTCAGACTTATCTCTTCAAAAGTTTTAAACACTGACAACCACGAAATTATTTCTAAATTAGCCCAAAACCCAAAAGTTGCTATTATAATTTATCAAATTGCTTTATTATGCAAAATACTGCGGGGGGGGGAGCATCTTTCAAACAGGAAAAAAAAAAAAATCAGGAATAAGAGAGGTGAAAAGTTTCCAACGAAAAGTAATCAAAGTGATAACCAGTAGTGGAAACCCATGATCACAATGCAGTAATGATAAAACAAAACTTTAGGTAGTATTGCTCTGGCTCTCCAACTGGATCTGGCTTAGCTGTACAATTTAGGAGTCAAAAGAATGACTTGCTTTCATTTGTCAAGCTGGAGAACTACAGAATTTGAACGAAAGGCATTATTTGAATGTAATTATGATTCTCTAAGGCAATAAAGAGCTCTGGTAGCATAGTGGCTAAGGAACTTGACTGCTAACCAGAAGGCTGGCGGTTCAAACCCACCAGGCACTCCTCGGAAGATGGGGCAATCTACTTCCGTAGTGATATCTCCTCGGAAATCTAAGGAGGGGTCGCTATGAGTCGGTTCGACTCCACGGCACACAACAACAAGAAGGCAATAAATCGAGAATTGGATGAAGTCTCACAGTAGTCTAGACTACAGATCTGTGCTGTCCAATACGGTAGCCACAAGTCACACAGGCTATTTAAATTCAAATTAATTAAAATTAAAAACTAAGTTCTCAGTCTTACCACATTTCAAGCACTATGTGTATATGTATGTAGCCACATGTGGCTGGTAGTCACTATTCTGGACGGCACAGATTATTGAACATTGCCATCATGGCAGAACATTCTACTGGACACGCATCTTAGGCTTAAGCACATTCTGCCTGAATAACCCCCCAAGACAAGAAGTTTGCTATAGCACGATAAAGTACATTCTATATTTGCAAAGTACGATCAGAAAATGGCTTCTCACAGTCAAATCTAATCCCTCTAGAATATCCACCAGAAATTCTACCAGTCCGTCCTCAACTGATCTTCAAGTAACTCTATGCAGACCTTACTAAAGCCCTTTTCCAAGGTTCTACTCCTCATACATACGAAAACCCCAAACCCGCTCCTTCCAGAAAAAATATGCACTCATTCTTTCGAAAGAAATAGTTTACTGTTTCCATCAACCTCGTGGACATATGTTAATCTGTCCATGGGTACAATAAGAATACCTATGTCCACTTGACTGCTAACCAGAAGGCTGGCGGTTCAAACCCACCAGCCACTCCTCGGAAGGAAGGTTGGGCAATCCTACTTCCGTAGTGATACTGCCTTGGAAACCCAAGGAGGGGTCGCTATGAGTCAGGGCTGACTCGACGGCACATAACAACAACAACAACATGTCCCCACAAGTTCACTCACTTGTCAGATTAAGTCTCCTGATTTTTTAATTTAGAAAATAACAATCACTCTGAATTTCTTAAAACATGGCAACCAAAATTAATTACAGCTAGCAGTGCCTGGGGCCTTTTGAGGCATTTAACGTGTATTATATAACCCTCAGGAGCTCTGCTAGCGTAGTGCTGCCTAAGGCATTTATTTGACTGCTAACCAGAAGGCTGGCAGTTCAAACCCACCAGCCACTCCTCGGAATGAAAATTGTGCAATCTACTTCCGTAGTGATACCGCCTCGAAAACCAAGGAGGGGTCGCTTTGAGTCGGATCCGAGTGGATGGCACATAACAACAACATATAATTACTCAGAATTCTGGAGTTAGGTTATTACTCCCTGTTTTACAGACCAGAACACCGAGACAAACACACGCTAAATTATTTTCCCAGGGTCACAGATGTGGGCTCACCCAGGTAGATAGAGTCCATCTTTTCCTTTTTTTCTGGATATTATACTTCTACCATCTACCTACCCCTTTTCAAGCAACAACTTCCTTCTGTAAGGATTCTTCCCCAAAAAGCACTACCTAGATAACTTAAGGAAGGCGCTTCTTTTGGCACATCCCACGCACACCTGGGTGCTCGTGTGCCCAGCGCCCCTCATCCCACGCCCACCCGCCGACTGGGAGGAGTCACTAGTCAATTCCACACTCAGCGGAGAACCAGGGCTCCGCGGGGAGCCAGCGCTTCACACGACCATCCTCCCGCCAACCCTCCAGCGTAAACGCCAATTATTCCGGGGCAGCCGTTCTCCGGCCGGGGCGTGGCCGGCGCAGGGACCTCGGGCCGACAGGCCGGGAGAAGGGGCCCACAGGCGCGGGGCTCGCCACGCAGCGTCCTTCCCGTTCCCTGCCCTTTCCCGTGCCCGTCCCCCATCGCCCCCCCACACCCCCTACAACCTCTGCTTTAAGAACCCTTGTAGGCACGGCTGCGGGTCCCGCGTGGATAATGTGGGGGTAGAGAAGGTGCGGTTTCTGCTGCTGCGGCCCGGGACACACTTGGAAAGGGGCGGGCAGACAGGGGTTGAGTATTGAACGGGCAAAGGTGTCTCGGTTGGGTGGGGGTGGGGGGGTCGCAAGATGGCGTGAGCCCGGCTCTCTGTGGGGCGGGGGTAGTGGAGAAGGAGGAGGTAGCGATACGCTACACCACCACTAGCGCCGCGGGTGTGAGCGCATGCGCGGTCAGCTAGGCGGCGCGTGGTCTTCTTTCCCGAGAGTGAGATACTTCCGCCACGTTTGGCGGGGGCGGGGCGTCGTGGGCGAGCCGAGTCTCTAAAGGCGGGGCTGTGATATACGTCCTTCAGTGTCCTGGGCAGCCGTGAGCAGTAGATCCAGGATGCCTGGGAGAGGTGTGGGGATGAAAACCGATAGGTGTTCAAGGTTCGGGCTTTGTATGCTTTAGAATTGCACTGAGAGGACTAGAGTTCTCAGGAGTTTAGGTGATCGATACAGAAAATACAGGGCAGAAATTTGCTAATGAAACTTCTCTTTAGGAATTGGGGTGAATGGGGATCTTTGGCAGTTTGCTCATTTAGAATGGTGAAAGGAAATGGGGAGATCAGAAAGATCAGCTCTCAAAGGGTCTGAATGAATGTGCGAGAGAAAATACTAAATACCGCGGCTCACCACCCCCAGCACGACACCATTCCTGTCCCTGGGCCTGCACAAAATCATTCAAGAGGCAGTGGGAGATGGTACACGATGAGCACGTTTTTGATTTTGAAAACCTTTTTCTCTGTGAAAGCTTTTAATGGACGACCGCCTATGGTTGGTTGGATTTCTTCCCTCAGGATTTTGACCTCTATTTTAAAACCCTGCACTCCCACTATTGAACTATGCATCTTGTCATTTCATTTCATTTGATTGGTATATATCTATGTAGTTCTTTAAAGAATACAGTCGTAAGACAATGACATCACTTCAGTTGCTTTCGTTTTCATGTTATTTGAAGTCTTCTTGATATTTGTGGGAGTTTTCTTGTTTTTGTTTTTTATATATGGAACATTTTTTGGCTGGTAATTGAAGAAAACAGATTAGCCATGCTCACATACATTCCTACCACATCAAGTGTTTTCAAATTCTATTTAATAGGAATTCTATTATCCTTCACCAGGTTTGTTTGTTTTGTTTTGTTTTGTTTTGTTTTGGTGAAAATGTGGGCAACCAAACACACCCCTTCAACAATGTTTACATGTGTAGTTAGTTTATCCACAAGGGTTACCTCACATTGTGTCACCATTTTTACTATCTTTGCCTTTAACTTAGAGTGTCTGCTCTTTAAGGGTCTCTTCTGGGCCCTGGTGACACAGTAGTTAAGCACTCAGTCGCCAACCAAAAGGTCAGAACAGGGAATTAAAACCCACCAGCCCCTCTGCGGAAGATGTGGCAGTCTGCTTCCATAAACACTTGAAAAACCACCAAACTCACTGCCGCCCACTCATAGTGACCCCTCTTTGGGTTTTCTAGGAAGTATATCTACAGAAGTAGATTGTCCAATCTGCCTTCTGAGGAGTGACTGGTGGGTTTGAACCACCAGCCTTCTGGTTAGCAGTCAAATGCCTTAGGCACTACACCTCCAGAGCTCCCTCATAAACAGTAACAAAAAAAGAAAGAAACTCACTGCCATAGAGTTGATTGCAACCCCTCAGCCCTGGAAACCCTTTGGGGCTGCAGAAAGGACATGAAGGTGACATCCTCCTCCGACCTCCAGCCTTAGCAGCAGGAAACAGAATCACCATCAGCAGCCCAAGGCTTATTCCTATGAGACCAGACATGCCATCATCTTCTAGCCTTTTTACCAATTCTAACAGGAATGGTTTGTCCCACAGCACTCACTGCTTCTCTGATGGCTTTGATAACTTGTAAAAATGGCCACATAGAACACAGACAATACTTATGATTTATGGGGGTTATTAGGGGAGTAAGAGGTTATAATCAGGTTCAGGAATGCTCAGGGTACAGTTCTTGGAACAGGACATCCTCCCCCTCTGCTATGCCCTCAGACACACCCACCCATCTGGCTCTTGGCCTCTCAGCTTGACCTCTGCCCTTCTCTGGCAAGTGTTAGGAATCTCTTTTAGCTGTGCAGACAGGTGCACTTACATGCATCCTACTCTGCCAGCAAGCCTCCTGCCCAAAGGCACTCAGCCTTTTTGCTCCATGGACCAGCAAGCCTGCTGTTCTGTCTTCCGCTGGTCTCCAGTTCTGCTGCTGCCCTCTATCTGCCTACCAATCTGTCTGCCAAGGAGGTCCAGTGCAAGGATCTCAGGTCCAAGGACACACTGCACTGCACCTCCAGCTCTCCTCTCTTGATGACAGTAAGATCTCCTCTTCTGCCTCTGGGAGAGCTCATTTTAAGCATACCAAAATGACAACTAATCAGTCCCCACATTAGAGTTCCATACATCTTATTTGCACAGTACCACTCCCACTAGGGTGTCAAGTACCTTGTTTACATTACTAACAAACTATCCAATCCCCTTGGTGGGCCACAAACACCTTACATTTGCATAGTTGTACCCAGTCTTCTGGTGGGAGTCACAAAGACCATGGTTAGAAGAGCCATAACCAAGCAATTCACTGCAATGCAAGAAATGCAAGGGCTTTTCTACTCTGTCCTATAGGGTCACTAGGAGTCTGATCAACTCCATGGCTATGAGCTTGGCTTTTGTCTGGTGTTTTAGAGTCACTGTTGTCCATTTAATCTCATATAGATTCTTTAAAAGAGCACAATGCTCAGGCAAACATTCTTTATTAAATAGGCTAAACTGGTTAGTTTAAAGATGACTTCGTGGGATAGTTTCTGTTCAAGCCTTAAAAGTTGTTTCCAGGCAATAGATTCCATGTTCCTCCAGTCTCCATGTATCCAGTAAATCCACCACGTCTTTTTAAACATTACTTCTTCATTTATCTACTCTAAATTAATTCCTTCCTTCCTCCTATTTGCTTATATTGTTTACAATTGCAGTTTATTAGATTATTTCCTACGTGGACTCTAGTTACGTCTTCTGTTAATTTTGAGTTTAGTCTTCTTTAATCTTCCCAGCCCTTCATATTTGCCAAACACTTAAGCTTCCAAAAGAATAAAGATATTTAGGATGTGAAAATTCATCATAATGTATAAGTCAGAGCTCCAATCAATGCTGGGAAAGGTGTGGTGTAGAGAGGAAAGTAACAGTGAATTGTGATCATTTCTTGAAGGAAGACTGTTTTATATGATAGTTGAAAACCCTTTTAAGTACCAAAATAAAAATTGCTTTGAGTCGATTTTCGATATGATGTCTTCATGTATATCAAAGTAGAACTGTACTCTGTAGGGTTTTCAATGGCTGATTTTTTTAATGTAGATCACAAACCCTTTCTCCTGAGATGCCTCCAGCCTTCAGGTTAGCAGCTGAGTGCTTAACCATTTGCATCACCCAGGAACACCCTTTCAAGAACATTACTGTTCTGGTTACCTAGTGCCGCTCTAACAAGAATATACTACAAATGGGATGGCTTTAACAAATGAGTTTATTCTCTTACATTTTGGAGGCTTTAAGTCCAAGTTCGAAGTGCCAGGCTCTAGAGGATGGGTGAAAGCCCCTCAACCTTGGGGTCCAGCTCTGCCTCCTGCTCCTGGCCCACTGAAGCTTGAGGCATTTCTTCACTCAGACCACTGCTACCTGCTGAGGCTGACAAACCCAAGGTTGACAGGTAACAAGGCACAGTCCTGATATTACCAAACCACACAGCAGACCATTAATTTAAGTCAATTTTAAGTCCCAAGGTCGGTAGAGCATGGCAGGCTGCTACAATGACACGGCTACACGCAGGGTCCAAGCATACCATAAGCTGTAGACCATTCCCAAGGCTTCTCCTTATGTACAGGAAGCAGACTACATCCCTAAGGCAGCTACTCAGCTGCTCACAACTAGATTCCACCATGGAGTTGATTACCAGTCTCATCATGGGGAATACTACTTCCAGCTGTTCAGCCACTCAACCAGACCTACCCAAGTTGACACACTAACTTAACTACCACAATTACCAAGAAAACAGAGTTAAGAGAATAAAATAGGAGAATTAATTATCACATCTAAAGAAACTAACCCCTAACAGACAATTTCAATTAAAATTAAAAATTACATTCAATTGCTGTTAATGTTACTATGGAGTCTCTGGTTGGTTACGAACTGTTAACAAGCTCAGCTGCTAATCAAAATATTGGGGGTTCATGTCCACCCAGCGGGGCCTTGGAAGAAAGTCCTGGCAATCTATTTCCAAAATATCAGCCATTGAAAATTCTATAGAGCAGAATTCTACTCTGACACATAAGTGGGTGCTGTGAGTTGGAGTCAATTTGATGGAAACTGTTTCATTGTTAACATGGTAATTTTTAATGCACAGTAGTTTCACCTGCATCAGATGGAGGCAAGATTTGACTCAGCTTTTCAGAATAGAACCTCAGTTAGAACCTAGAGCTCACTGTCAACCTATTGATATTTCTTGTTTTTGTTAAGGAGCTTCAGTGGCAGAGAGCCTAAGGCATTTGGCTATTAACGTAGAGGATTGGTGGTTCACACCCACCCACTACTCCATGGAACAAAGATGGGGCAATTCACTCTGGTAAAGATTTGCTGCTTAGGAAACCCTATAGGAATCACTGTGAGTCAACTTAATAGCAATGGGTTTGTTTTTTTTGGTTTGTTTCTGTTAGTTGCCAAGTTGATTCCAACTCATGGCAACTCTGAGTGCAGAGAACTGCCCCATAGAGTTTTCATGGCTGTGACTGTAAACATAACCAGGCCTGTGTCCTGAGGTCCTTTTTAGCTAGTAGTCAATCACTTAATCACCCAGGGATTCCACTTATAAACACACACAACAGGAATTAATGAAAGTAAGACACAGAGAAAGAAAACTGAGTTAAACAAAGCACTGGTAGGTACCAAACCAAACCCACTGCCATCAGGGCAGTTCTAATTCATAGCAACCTCCATAGGGTTTTCTAGGCTGTAAACCTTTGCGGAAGTTGATCGCCTCATCTTCCTCCCACAGAGCAGCTAGTGGATTTGAATCACTGACCTGGTTAACAGCCAAATGCCTTAACCACTGCACCACCAGAGCTCCTTACTATTTCCACTGTTTGGAAATTGTGAGTTGTGCTTTTGACAGATAT